GACTAAATACTTTTTTTCCCCACTGTATGTCAAAAATGTTATAAATTGATTTGCATTTTAATGAGGGAAATATGTATTTGACCCCCTCTCAATCAGAAAGATTTCTGGCTCCCAGGTGTCTTTTATACAGGTAACGAGCACACTCTTAAAGGGAGTGCTCCTAATCTCAGCTTGTTACCTGTATAAAAGACACCTGTCCACAGAAGCAATCAATCAATCAGATTCCAAACTCTCCACCATGGCCAAGACCAAAGAGCTCTCCAAGGATGTCAGGGACAAGATTGTAGACCTACACAAGGCTGGAATGGGCTACAAGACCAGCTTGGTGAGAAGGTGACAACAGTTGGTGCGATTATTCGCAAATGGAAGAAACACAAAATAACTGTCAATCTCCCTTGGCCTGGGGCTCCATGCAAGATCTCACCTCGTGGAGTTGCAATGATCATGAGGAGTCAGCCCAGAACTACACAGGAGGATATTGTCAATGATCTCAAGGCAGCTGGGACCATAGTCACCAAGAAAACAATTGGTAACACACTACGCCGTGAAGGACAGAAATCCTGCAGCGCCTGCAAGGTCCCCCTGCTCAAGAAAGCACATATACAGGGCTGTCTCAAGTTTGCCAATGAACATCTGAATGATTCAGAGGAGAACTGGGTGAAAGTGTTGTGGTCAGATGAGACCAAAATCGAGCTCTTTGGCATCAACTCAATTCGCCATGTTTGGAGGAGGAGGAATGCTGCCTATGACCCCAAGAACACCATCCCCACCGTCAAACATGGAGGTGGAAACATTATGCTTTGGGGGTGTTTTTCTGCTAAGGGGACAAGACAACTTCACCGCATCAAAGGGACGATGGATGGGGCCATGTACCGTCAAATCTTGGGTGAGAACCTCCTTCCCTCAGCCAGGGCATTGAAAATGGGTCGTGGATGGGTATTCCAGCATGGCAACAAAGGAGTGGCTCAAGAAGAAGCACATTAAGGTCCTGGAGTGGCCTAGCCAGTCTCCAGACCTTAATCCCATAGAAACTCTGTGGAGGGAGCTGAAGGTTCGAGTTGCCAAACGTCAGCCTCGAAACCTTAATGACTTGGAGAAGATCTGCAAAGAGGAGTGGAACAAAATCCCTCCTGAGATGTGTGCAAACCTGATGGCCAACTACAAGAAACGTCTGACCTCTGTGATTGCCAACAAGGGTTTTACCACCAAGTACTAAGTCATGTTTTGCAGAGGGGTCAAATACTTATTTCCCTCATTAAAATGCAAATCAATTTATAACATTTTTTACATGCGTTTTTCTGGATTTTTTTTGTTTGTTATTCTGTCTCTCACTGTTCAAATAAACCTACCATTAAAATTATAGACTGATCATGTCTTTGTCAGTGGGCAAACGTACAAAATCAGCAGGGGATCAAATACTTATTTCCCTCACTGTATATATATACAGTGGGGAGAACAAGTATTTGATACACTGCCGATTTTGCAGGTTTTCCTACTTACAAAGCATGTAGAGGTCTGTAATTTTTATCATAGGTACAGTTCAACTGTGAGAGACGGAATGTAAAACAAAAATCCAGAAAATCACATTGTATGATTTTTAAGTAATTAATCTTCATTTTATTGCATGACATAAGTATTTGATCACCTACCAACCAGTAAGAATTCCGGCTCTCACAGACCTGTTAGTTTTTCTTTAAGAAGCCCTCCTGTTCTCCACTCATTACCTGGATTAACTGCGCCTGTATGAACTCGTTACCTGTATAAAAGACACCTGTCCACACACTCAATCAAACAGACTCCAACCTCTCCACAATAGCCAAGACCAGAGAGCTGTGTAAGGACATCAGGGATAAAATTGTAGACCTGCACAAGGCTGGGATGGGCTACAGGACAATAGGCAAGCAGCTTGGTGAGAAGGCAATAACTGTTGGCGCAATTATTAGAAAATGGAAGAAGTTCAAGATGACGGTCAATCCTCCTCGGTCTGGGGCTCCATGCAAGATCTCACCTCGTGGGGCATCAATGATCATGAGGAAGGTGAGGGATCAGCCCAGAACTACACGGCAGGACCTGGTCAATGACCTGAAGAGAGCTGGGACCACAGTCTCAAAGAAAACCATTAGTAACACACTACGCCGTCATGGATTCAAATCCTGCAGCGCACGCAAGGTCCCCCTGCTCAAGCCAGCGCATGTCCAGACCCGTCTGAAGTTTGCCAATGACCATCTGGATGATCCAGAGGAGGAATGGGAGAAGGTCATGTGGTCTGATGAGACAAAAATATAGCTTTTTGGTCTAAACTCCACTCGCCGTGTTTGGAGGAAGAAGAAGGATGAGTACAACCCCAAGAACACCATCCCAACCGTGAAGCATGGAGGTGGAAACATCATTCTTTGGGGATGCTTTTCTGCAAAGGGGACAGGACGACTGCACCGTATTGAGGGGAGGATGGATGGGGCCATGTATCGCGAGATCTTGGCCAACAACCTCCTTCCCTCAGTAAGAGCATTGAAGATGGGTCGTGGCTGGGTCTTCCAATATGACAACGACCCGAAACACACAGCCAGGGCAACTAAGGAGTGGCTCCGTTAGAAGCATCTCAAGGTCCTGGAGTGGCCTAGCCAGTCTCCAGACCTGAACCCAATAGAAAATCTTTGGAGGGAGATGAAAGTCCGTATTGCCCGCCGACAGCCCCGAAACCTGAAGGATCTGGAGAAGGTCTGTATGGTGGAGTGGGCCAAAATCCCTGCTGCAGTGTGTGCAAACCTGGTCAAGACCTACAGGAAACGTATGATCTCTGTAATTGCAAACAAAGGTTTCTGTACCAAATATTAAGTTCTGCTTTTCTGATGTATCAAATACTTATGTCATGCAATAAAATGCAAATGAATTACTTAAAAATCATACAATGTGATTTTCTGGATTTTCGTTTTAGATTCCGTCTCTCACAGTTGAAGTGTACCTATGATAAAAATTACAGACCTCTACATGCTTTGTAAGTAGGAAAACCTGCAAAATCGGCAGTGTTTCAAATACTTGTTCTCCCCACTGTATTACTATATATCTTATATATATACTGTATATATCTAATAATTTATATAATATATATACACTGTATATATTACTACATATCTAATGTATAATGTATATATGTATTATTATGCATTTTTTAACTTATTTTCATGTAACTTTTTTTTTACTGCCTCTTGTGCCCCTCAAGGGCCTGGACACAGGGGCTTCATCCCCGGTAAACCCTTGCATTATTCCGGCCCTGGGTCCGGCCCAAGTCAAGCACTGTGTATACAGAACCTTTTGTGCTGGACATGTACAGGAACAATGACTCAAGGTCTTGAATAAGGGTTTGCTGAAACTGCTGCCACTGTGTTGTGAAATAAGACAGCCATCTGCAGTACCTTGCTGCCATCTAGTGAGTGAGTGACTGCATTCAATCTTGTACTGCTTCATTTTTACATTTTAGTCATCCAGAGAGACTTACAGTTAGTGCTTCAAAGCCCATGCTTGAATGATTGCGTCTAGAAATGGATTTCCATACATTATAGGGGAATAAATATGTGGATCTATATTTTATTTAACTGTGTCTGCATGATGGCGGACCTTTTTTACCTATGTTATGTTGATATAAAAAAAATCCTATCTGGACAGGATGGGATTTTAATTGTGTTCACACAAACTGCCTACCACAATAAAAACAGTTAAAATAATGCCCTTTCTTATTTTTGAGCATTATGTTCACAGACGTAGGCTACATCATTAAGAAATGTATCACGGGCACGGTGGATTAAAACGTCTCCTTGGCAATATTAAACCACACCCTACGCTTGTAGGCAGAGATTGCATCCGGGTTATCTTTGAGCGCATGCGTATTAGTGCGGAAGATCAACATGTGTCAATTTCTGGATACATTACCTCCACCCAGTTTAGTAACACACATTTGTGGCCAAAAAGCAGGGCTCAGGAGACTTCACCACACCTGTCGCAGCAGGTAGGCTTCATCATCCTCACTCTCGTCAGGTTCGATTTCTGAGCTTTCACTAGCAACCGACTCCATTTTGAGGTTATCAGGGGAGCATGTAGCCTAACCATTCCACTCGGCATTAGTTGATTCATAAGTACATTTAGTAAAGGTTTGTAACCCAGTCAGGAGACTAAGGTTTTTACCAAAAAATGTGGTCGTCGCAAGTTACCACAGCCACAAAGTCAGAAACCCCGCCTATTTCAACAATGTATCTTTTTAAAATCAGATTTTAAATTGAACCTTATGCCTAATCCTAACCTTTAATCAAGACCAAAAGGCTACGTTTTGTTTCCATGGTATTTCTTTTTAACGATATAGACAATGTAGACTTCGTGGCTGTGGTAACTAGTGACAACCAAAAACTGTTTGTACTTGGCGCCATTTTTCCTGTTTCGCGTGCATCAGAGTTCGCGTCATCCTTCCCAATCCCATCCGGGTTATACTTGAGCGCATGCGTATTTACATGAAGTCGACGTCAGCTTTCGAGAACATACGTGGCCTTTACACAGAGCAGTCACAAAAAGAAGTATTCAGAAAACTCCGGTAAGTCAACTAGAATTGCCCTATCAGATTATTTTACGAATCTATTTTTGTTTTGTTAATAGTGTTATTTTAAAGTTGCATCAAGATGCGCATTGTAAGATATTTACCTTTTTAAGAAGAGTCGTTACAATGTTATGTAACTTTCATTGTCAGAGTAGCACTATCAGCTACAATATAAAATGATTGTTACATTGTTTTCACGAAATGTTAAACATTGTTATAAACCAGTGTGTTGAAACATTTACCCAAGCCTTACGTTTATGGGACTGGAGGGTTACACTGGTGTAATAAGCTACCTAAAATAAAATTAAACTAATAACCTAAAAGCTTATACTGTATTAGATTTATATAGGCTGCTGAGTAAACATTAATTTATAAATTGTATTTATTGTTCCCCCAGTTGGACCAAAACCTTTCCAACATGGACCAAGTAATGCAATTTGTGGAGCCCAGTCGGCAGTTTGTGAAGGACTCGATAAGGCTTGTGAAGAGGTGTACCAAGCCTGACAGAAAAGGTAATCTATTTTATATCATAGATATCCTTTTCACGAATTGCCCCCTACATGGCTGGCTGTTGTGAATGGCTGATGTTTTCTTACACAAAACACTGTACCCTTATACAGGAAATTAAATGTAGTTACCTTTGAGGTATTCTCACAAGCCTCTCTCCCTAGCATGATGTGTCAGTATAGAGGCATAGAACTGACTGGGCATATATTTCTCTGTATTATAGATCATTATCACTTTATTTTCTGCTTTAATCAGTTGACTGTCCAAATTCATATAACATTGTTTACAATAACAATTTTGTACATTTCTTGTATTTATTTAATGATTTGTTAGCCTCTGGTTGACCTAACTTTGTAAAGTAGCAGCCAACTGAATTTGGCCATGCAAAATCAAATTAAACTTTGTTCTTTTTAATTTCAGAATTCTCGAAGATTGCCATGGCCACAGCGATAGGTTTTGCTATCATGGGCTTCATTGGTTTCTTCGTCAAACTCATCCACATCCCAATCAACAACATCATTGTGTAAGTATTAATCGATAGTAGCCTAGTATTACTGTTAATCAACCACTGCACAATGATGATAGATAGCAGTGTTCCTCCGTGGAGATAGCTTTTTCATATTTAAAAACATTCTTACTCTTTATATGAATAACTTTGCAATTAATTAATACAACATTTTTCTTTCAGTGGTGGTTGAATATCTCCCCTGACTGACTACCTGCAACTGGACATGGGATCAAAGTGCTGATGTTTTTTAAAAATACATATTATAATTATCTTCTGTTCATATTTGTTTGCTTTGTAAATAAATTTGGATTAATAAGATATCAAATCTCTGGTGTTTATTTCCTCTAAATCACAGAAAATATTAACTCCAATCTAGGGCATTGGAATTTGACATATTGTTTTGATGAACACATTTGTTATATTTCCTGTAAGGAAAGACTGGTACTGTCTTCCATGACTGATCTGATCCTAAATGGACTGATTTAAATAAAGTTCATTATCTTCTGTTTTGCATTTCATCTCCATGTTATTTAGAGAATAGTTATTCAGGCTCAGTTTGTTTTGCACAACTTCAAGTCATAGTCAGATAAGATAAGCTTGCAGAGCTTCTGCTGCACTTAACCTTTCTCCATTTACTATGTTCACTTGTGTATCCCTTGTTCACTTTCTTATAAGGCTAGCAGCAAGTCCCCTGTAGCTCAGTTGGTAGACCATGGTGCTTGCGACGCCAGGGTTGTGGGTTCGTTTCCCACGAGGGGCCAGTATGAAAATGTATGCACTTACTAACTGTAAGTCGCTCTGGATAAGAGTGTCTGCTAAATGACTAAAATGTAAAACATGACCTCTGTACACTGCAGAATCTTGAGAATCTGTGAGTATCTCTAGGGAATTCTAAAGGAGTATTGTGAGCCTGTGTGTTCCACATTGTATGGCTTGGATTTTCCTCCCCTCTTAACTTTTACTGCTGTAAATAATGCAACACACATGAGGAAAACAAGTAGAGCTTTATATTTATTTAAATAATGTGTAACGTGGTGTGAAAAGGTTCAAAGCCCAGTGTGAGTGAATATTGTATTCAGGCTTATTTATTTTAACCAGAAGGGATACCTGTATGGATTACATTTTAAAGAGGTGAGTGAAATCGTAAGCTTCATGTAATGAAAATCATCTCCAAGTATGAATCATTGATACTGAGGTTGCATTGTCTTCCACATTGCTATACAGTGGGGTTTCAGAGCAATGGTGTGGAAAATACCAATATATAATATCCCCAGAAAATAAAATGCCATTAGATTTCTATTCAGATTAGGTCATACAAGTGGTTGACAGAGGCACAGGGAAGAGATAACCACACTTCAAAGATGAACATAAATAAACAAACAAATGAACATAAACAAATACATTCATTAAAAATCCTACAATGTGATTTTCGGAGAAAAAAAAATCTCAATTTGTCTGTCATAGTTGACGTGTACCTATGATGAAAATTACAGGCCTCTCTCATCTTTTTAAGTGGGAGAACTTGCACAATTGGTGGCTGACTAAATACTTTTTTCCCCCCACTGTAGTATATAATTCGGTCAAGCTTAATGATCTGATGAGGTACAAAAAAAAAATCATAAGATTGAGTAGGCTACTGTAGTTTTCTTTGAAGTGTGCATCCACTGTTTGACTAAATTACTCAAATTGATAATGGATGAAAACCTGAGGCAAAAACTCATTAAACTTTCAAATTAGAATTGTCCTGCACATTAGTGATTAGTCTATGGCACTGGAAGAAGTACAAGGCGAGACTGTTATTCCTAACACCTTTCAGTATTCACCTCTTTGTTGACAGGCTAGTCCTATATGTGTGGCCTGCAGACTGCAACGTTATCCGTGAAGTAGATGTTGTTAGTTATAATGTGCTATACATGTTTAGTTATATTGTTGCAGTAGTAGGCTATGTTCAAAATAATTCCTTGAAATAGCACATTAGTAATGAAAGTAATTGATCCACAACGGCTCAACATAATCATTCCAGGTAGCCTATGATTCAGAGATAGCTGTGTTGTTATGGAAAGGAAGCGTGCGATTGTCATGATTTAACTGGATTGAACCCAAATGCAGACAACAACACCGAGCCAGAGAAGGTTTAACAGGTTTATTTACAAAGTTCAATTTGTCCAGGTTCCCAATAATAGGGGAAGAGCAAGTCCAGGTTTACAGGGAGGGTAACAGATCCAGGTTCAGAGCAGGAGTGGTACCGTAACGTCCTAGTGTCCGTGGTGAGTCCAAAAGGGAGGTCCGGTAGTGGAAAGCAGGATGGTGGTGGCAGGAGTGAAGCGGAGGCAGGAGTCAGGTTCCAATAATCTGTGGCACAGGAGAAAAGTAACTAGAACAGGCCAAAAACACAAAGGGCGAAAACAAGCAGGTTGAGTCAACAGCGAAACTAACATGGTCGTCTTGACTATGATCTGACGATGAGTGGCAAGTTTGACCGGGTCTTTAAGGCTGAGGTGATTATGGTGAATGAGCTGCAGCTGGAACCCTGACTCCCGCACACCAGACTTCACTCCTGCAATCAAGGACAGACAGAGGGGAGGGGGAGAGCAGAGAGAGAGCTACCTAGCAGCAGTAGGCCTAACAGCGATAGTATGGGAATAGGGCTATACACAGTAAATCAAGGAGAGTTTAAATCACAGAGTACATTTTTTTAGAATTGACTACTGGAGTTATCTTAGTGTTGATAACTGGAGTTGATTGGGACTGAATACTTTTAAGGCCAGGCATCACAGGTTAAAATCACATTCTTGTTCTGAAGCCATTTCAGCTTTACTTTGGCTGTATGCTTGGGGTCATCGTCCTGTTGGAACGTAAATCTTCACCCCAGTCTGTCATTTGCACTCTGAAGCAGGTTCTCATCAATAATTTGCCTGTATTTGGCTCCATTCATTCTTCCCTCTATCCTTACCAGTCTCCCAGTCCATGCTGCTGAAAAGCATCCCCATAGCATGCTTCACGGTAGCGATGGTGTTTGGCAGGTTTTTTTCCAGACATAGCGCTTTGCATTCAGGCCAAAGAGTAAAATGTTTGTCTCAGACCGCAGAATATTTTGCCTTATGCTCTGTCTTTCACATACCTTTTTGCAAACTCCAGGCGTGCTGTCATGTGCCCTTTTCTCAGGAGTGGCTTCCATCTGGCCACTCTCCCATAAAGCCCATATTTGAGAAGTGCTGTAGAGACTGTTGTCCTTCTGACAGGTTCTCCCATCTCAGCCAAGGAACTCTGTAGTTCTGTCAGAATGATCATTGGGTTCTTGGTCACCTCCCTGACCAAGGTCCTTCTTTCCCTGTTGCTCAGTTTGGTCAGACGGCCAGCTCTAGGCAGAGTCTGGTTAGTTCCGTATTTTTTCCATTTTCCAATGATGGAGACCACTATGCTCTTGGAAACTTTCAACACTCAACAAATTGTTTTTTACCCTTCCACAGATGTGCCTCATCACAATTCTATCTTGGAGTTCTACGAACAATTCCTTGGACTTCATGGTATAGTTTCTGCTCTGACATGCACTGTCAACAAATATGGGGTGCCTGGTAATGAAGAGTAGCCAGAGACTGTGAGTTGAAACTATGGAGTATCCACAGATGTGGAAGGGGTGTTATTGTCTTATTTCCCAGCATGCTCTGTTGCAGGTTGATTAAAAAATATATATTGTTTGTTTCAATTGTTTTTGATCTTATGCTACACAATGATATGCAACATACATTTTCCTAAACTAATCTAATCTGTAAATGGTTGGATTTACAGTGAGGGAAAAAAGTATTTGATCCCCTGCTGATTTTGTACGTTTGCCCACTGACAAAGAAATGATCAGTCTATAATTTTAATGGTAGGTTTATTTGAACAGTGAGAGACAGAATAACAACAAAAAAATCCAGAAAAACGCATGTCAAAAATGTTATAAATTGATTTGCATTTTAATGAGGGAAATAAGTATTTGACCCCTCTGCAAAACATGACTTAGTACTTGGTGGCAAAACCCTTGTTGGCAATCACAGAGGTCAGATGTTTCTTGTAGTTGGCCACTAGGTTTGCACACATCTCAGGAGGGATTTTGTCCCACTCCTCTTTGAAGATCTTCTCCAAGTCATTAAGGTTTCGAGGCTGACGTTTGGCAACTCGAACCTTCAGCTCCCTCCACATATTTTCTATAAGATTAAGGTCTGGAGACTGGCTAGGCCATTCCAGGACCTTAATGTGCTTCTTCTTGAGCCACTCCTTTGTTGCCTTGGCCGTGTGTTTTGGGTCATTGTCATGCTGGAATACCCATCCACGACCCATTTTCAATGCCCTGGCTGAGGGAAGGAGGTTCTCACCCAAGATTTGACGGTACATGGCCCTGTCCATCGTCCCATTGATGCTGTGAAGTTGTCCTGTCCCCTTAGCAGAAAAACACCCCCAAAGCATAATGTTTCCACCTCCATGTTTGACGGTGGGGATGGTGTTCTTGGGGTCATAGGCAGCATTCCTCCTCCTCCAAACACGGTGAGTTGAGTTGATGCCAAAGAGCCACAACACTTTCACCCAGTTCTCCTCTGAATCATTCAGATGTTCATTGGCAAACTTCAGACGGGCATGTATATGTGCTTTCTTGAGCAGGGGGACCTTGCGGGCGCTGCAGGATTTCAGTCCTTCACGGCGTAGTGTGTTACCAATTGTTTTCTTGGTGACTATGGTCCCAGCTGCCTTGAGATCATTGACAAGATCCTCCCGTGTAGTTTTGGGCTGACTCCTCATGATCATTGCAACTCCACGAGGTGAGATCTTGCATGGAGCCCCAGGCCGAGGGAGATTGACAGGTATTTTGTGTTTCTTCCATTTGCGAATAATCGCACCAACTGTTGTCACCTTCTCACCAAGCTGCTTGGCGATGGTCTTGTAGCCCATTCCAGCCTTGTGTAGGTCTACAATCTTGTCCCTGACATCCTTGGAGAGCTCTTTGGTCTTGGCCATGGTGGAGAGTTTGGAATCTTATTG